GGCCCGGCTTGGGGCCCGGCCCGCTGCGGTTTGCTCGCGCTGCCCGCACGAGGGGTCTCGCCCGCCGGGTCTGCCTGTCCTGGGCGCCAGCCCCGCGTGCAGCAGGCGCTGAGGCAGAGCGTGCGGGCTGGGACCAGTGCGTGCAGCCCCCTAGGCAGACCCTTCTGCACTGCTGTGCGCGGGCAAGGCTGCAGCCCGAGGGAAAAGGCCAAAAACAGCCGCAAGGACTGGTCTAGGACAGAAGCAGGCGGTCTTGCGGCCCTACTTTTTCTTGGGCCACCTGTGGGGCTCAGTGATTCTCCGCCTTTTCTTTCTAGACTGGAGGCAGCCCTTGGCAAATGCCAGCTCTTTGCTTTCACGTCTGTTTCGACTCCCATCAAATGATAAAGGAAATTTTAAAAAGAATTTCTGTTGCAAAGGCCACAGCGTGCAATTCCTCTTCCAGATCTGTGTGTTTGCTTTGTGAATCCTGTTTGTCAACCTAACTGGGCTGACTTGGGGCAGCGCCCCTTGAAAGGATCTCGAGGCGCCTTGGCTGAGAATCGCTGGTATAGGCATAGGCCAGCTTTCGGGTATCACAGTGCCCTTTCTCAGGCCTCCCCAAGTAGTACTGAGGGGATGTTAAAGCACATTTACAAATCAAGTGTGTTTTGGGACAGAAAACAAAGGGGTGGCAAGAAATGGTCTCTTTTCAGAATGCTTTAAGATTAGCAACGAAGTGTCCAAGCCTCTGTGCCTGAGGGAGGCCTGAGTTAAGGTCAACTGAAGTCAGTAGCTCTATCATCATATTCACTTGTTTCCCTTTGACAGCTCGTGGGGCCTGTGATGATGATGTAAGAGTCATCTCCCCCCCACACTCCAACAAAGCCAAACCCTTCAAAATTCAGTTTCTGACAGTAGTTTAGTGCCTGGCTCCTTCACAGCTCTGCAGAGAAGCTTGAAAGTTTCCCAGCAAAGGCCCAGCCCCCAGGAAGCAGGGCACAAAGAAGCCTGTCTTTTCCCTTTGTTACGCTCTCACCATTGTTTGTCAACGTCACCTTTTTCCTAGCGCCTGCCTTGTAATTTTTGTAGCGCTTGGTTTTGGTTTGAGGGGCCGCTTTCCTGGCCTGAGCTGTGAGAAGTGGCGTATGCTTGACTGGACCAGCCCTGCACTTGGGGAGCTAACCGAGCTCCCACTTGCTGCAGGGACCCTGCAACTTGTTTGCAAGCAGGTTTCTGTACGGGGACTGCAGCTGAAAACAGAAAGGGGAGGGTCCCCTCTTCTTGTGGGCTCCTACAGGCCTAGGAGCTGTCGAGTCGTGCTTCAAGGGACTGAGATCCTGGGACAGCCCGGCCTGATTGGAGTGAATTGCCATCGGGAGGTGAATCCGAGCCTGGCACGATCCGATCTGGCATATACCTGACATGTGCACCCCCCAGCAGGGATCCTGGCTAGCTACAAGCCTGTGGGAGCTGCCTTCATCTCCCCGGCAGAGGCAAGGCAGTGTCTGGCAGGGGCAAGGGGCGCGAGGCTGAGGAGCGGGAAGCGAGCGCTGTCGGGGGCCGGAGGATGCCGGTCCCGCTGGGCCTGGCGAGACGGCTGCTGCTGCCGCCCGTGAGGCTCCCGGAGCGTGGTGAGCAGTGACCCGCCCGTGACCTTGACCTTCCCCCTTGGATTTGAGGGTAGCGGGAGGAGGGTCTCCGGCGGTCGCCCTGTGCGGGTTGCAGCTCCCCTACTTGTTCCCCGCCTGCCCCTGCGGGACTCGCCTCTACTCGTGGGAGGACGGGGCCCTGCGGGAGGTCGTATCGCAGGTGGTCGGAAACGGGGCTTGGAAGGGACTGGGGCAGGCGTCTCAACCCCGTGGGTGGCCACCCAAAAGCAGGCCGCAAGAATATGGGAAAGGGTTGAGAGCAGGCTTGAAAAATGGGTTCTCCTTTCAAGAGGGAAAAGTGGGCTTTTTCTCTTGCAGGCAGGGTTTGAATGACACTTTTTTTACTCTGGGGGGGGGTGGGGGGTGCAAAAATAATTAAACCGGTTCCAATTGGTGACCTCCCCCAGCCTCCTCCCCAGGTTATGATTTTCAAATGTTACAGGGGGGCTCTAAGCTCATATGGGGATGCTCAGCCCCCCTGAGCTCCCCCATAATTCGCACCCTGGTTGCAGGCTAGCAGAGTTGTAGCCTACGAGGGGCCCTTCATGCCCCACACACCCACCCCCTGCCTCACACACTTGGGGGCAGTGGGTTAGGAGTGAGGACTGCCCATCAGTATTTACAAATGGGTCCTAGTACAAAAAAGGTTGAGGACCACTGATCTAATGTAACCCCCTGCTCAAAGCAACGCTATCCCGATACACCAATATCATCCCACCCAAGGCTTTGTCTTTGTGGGTCTTTTCGGATTTAGTTAGCCTATCATATGATCTTTGCTTATTTAGTTGGTGAAAGGCCAAGAGGGGAGCGCCATTTAGAACAGGAATGCGGTTTATTTGAGAGGCCTTCTGATTAAGGACAGCTGTCGTGAAAGGACAGTGTATGAACTTGATGGAAGCTGCACCCCTCTGATATTCCTGTGTTTTTAGCATGGAAGCGTTCTGCCTTCATTGCAACCAAGCAGTATGATAATGGACCCCAATGGATAAAAGTTGCACTGACTTTGGGCGCAGCTGCAGCCCTGTGGCGCCTAGTAAGTATTGTGACTTTTGTTCCAATGTATATGTAACCGTTTACTTAGAGACCGTAAGATCCTGGATCTCTGTGGTACAGCTGACTGATGCACAGGGCAACAGAAAGATTAAAGAAGTGCATGCAGATTAGGTCTGTTTCTGCCAAGCCCATACGTTGAATTATTTGAAAAGCTAGAGAAGCATGATGCTCCCCTTTGCTACAGCTTTTGAGACAACAGTTACATGCTGAAGAATTAATTGCCTGCTGATATGTCAACTTGTTTTCTAGACCAGGGTTGGGTAGGCATAAGGAAAAGCTTAACAGTTCTTCTTTTTGATATAAAATCTAGACATGTGGCTGGATATATTCAGAAAAGTCATTTTATTTTTGAATGTTTCAATCTTCTTATCAGTGATCAAGCCTCCATTGTACCAGGCAGTGTGTAACTGTTTAAAATGTTCCCTGCTTCCAGGAGCTCTGCACCTAAGACAGCAGTCGGCAACACTTTTCTGGCAGGAGACTGGAACGACCAGCTTGGGTTCTTTGCCAGCCAGCACTTATGACCCTTTCATCATTGCCATCACCACTTCTCCTGGCTGTGGTGTGGTGCCATGTGGCCCATTTATCCATCTATGCTGCCAAGTCCCTTAGCTCTTGGTTGGATTCAGTGGCTTTGTGGGCTGGAGCCAGCCTGCAGCTGTTGGTTGCCAACCCCAGGCCTAAGATAATGATGGCACACAGCTACTGCATTCTCTCAGTCTGCTGTAAAGAGAACATGTTATACAGAATAAACAGCACAGGAATGATGTAGGCCAGTGTTTCTCAACCTTTTAAGTAGCAAGTACCCCCTGACTTCTGAATATTTTAATAAGTACCCCAACACTCAATTTTCCAGGGAATTTTATATTTACAGACTAATGTGTGACATATGTTGGAAGAAGGGCTGCATATATAAGGCCGTGATATAAATGATGTCTGATCTGGTGTGGGTAGGGATGCTACTTTTTACACCAGGAGTGCTCAAGAATGTACCTGGGCTAGAGGTGATGTTAGCCAAAGCTAGGAGGGCTGAACCCAGTGTTGTGCAAAGCGTGGCATGCCAAATTATCGCTGGGGAATTTAACGTGCCGCGCATGCCAAATTTATTGCCATAGTTTTGAGGAGGAAGGGGTGAGAGAGAGGAAAAGAAGGCGAGACAGACAAGGATATTTGCGGGGGGGGAGACAGGTAGCAACCATAATTGTGGAGCAGGCACGTGGTGTTGGCTGCTTCCAGGGCCACTGCAGCAGGGGTTGGGGTGATGGGGAGAAGCAGAGGCCCGCAGTGCGGTGAGGTAAGTCTGTAGGGCAGGGGTTGGCACACCCCAGGGCATGTGTGCCTCTGCTGCAGCTGCCCCAGAAGCAGCCGACACCACCTGCCTGCACCACAGTTACGCTTACTACCTGTCCCTCTCTTTTCACCCTCCCCCCTCCCCTTCTCTCTCTTGCACTATATCTCACCCTCTCTTCCTGTCTCTCTCACCCCTTCCTCCTCTTCAAACTATGGCAAAAGGTTTGAACATCCATTTGCAGCAGAGCAAAGCTGAGCAGAGTGCAGCGACCAGATAGGCCTATGAGGTCCTGGTGAAAGCCATCCCTGGGGACGTGGCACAGAACTACTCCCCACAGTCTGTTCCCAGGGCTTTGTCCTGTTGCAAATAACTCACGTGTGAAGGCACTGAACACTTCCCAGAGGAGACTGGCCCACAGTCTACTTGAGATGCAGAGTGTGGCCTCATTTTAGCTCCAACAGCTCTGGGGGACTGTTCCCAAGCCCACAGCAAAGCCCCAGCCAACCCAGCAGCCCCCCCATGTCCAGATCAAGGCTTGAAAGTAACCAGGAAATCAGGTTTTCCATCATGCTCGCTATGCCCAGCCCGGCATGAGCCCAGGAAGGGTTTCCAATGCACTGACTAGTCTTTTCTGCAAAGCTTCCAAATATTTCGGGCCTTAATAACACAATAAGGAGCAGAAACACTAATAAGCAAATTAGGAGACTGTTGGTGCTATGCTAATGAGCATGGCACATGAGCCCATTTTGCTTGGCACTCTACTGCCAGCCATGGAGCCCACGGGCTTTTCCTAGCAGGTGGCTGGGAGGCTGCAAGCCCTACTGCAAGCAGCCCAGGCTCTGTGACTGGCAGCAGCTAGCCAGAGCCTGAGCTGTCTGCAGCCAGGAGGCTGCAAAGAAGCTGCTCCAGGCTCCAGCATCCCATGGCTCCAAGCAGACAGTGGGGTGGGGGACCCTGAGGCAGTGCAGCCCAGAAAAGTCCTGTGCCACCACTGGCACCACTTGTATCCAGCCTGCGCTCTGGGCAGCTGCAGCAAGCAGGCTGCAAACAGCTGCATCTAGCTCCGCAGCCCTGGCATCAGCTCCATGAAATTATGGTGTAGACCAATCCATCATGGCAACTGCTTTTTTCATCTAGTTTAGTATCCTGCCTCTGTTAGTGACCAGCAGTGGACAGTTGTGGAATAATCTGCCTTTCTAGAAAGTCCCCTCCTATAGTTAGACAGTGGCTTGTGTTCTGAAGCTTGATGGTTGCATCTCCTCCAAAATTGTAGTTCATCTTGTTTTACTATAAGAACTCTGGCCTTAGTTCACTACTTGCCTGCATGACCTTGTTTAACCTACAATGTCATCCAACAGCTCTTCATGATACACAAGAGGGATTTGAAGGAATATGAAAGAAGACAAAAAGCACTGTGTGAAAAATGTACAGACATTCAGAGTGAGTATACAAATGTAGACTGATATATTTAACTGAGACTCTGGAATCTTGCAAGGTGCCTTGTAGCTTTCATTCACAGTCAGTAGTGTGGTAATTGGTAGTTTTGTCCTTTCCTCCTTTTTTTTTTCCTGTTCCCTGGCTGCTTCAGTCCTGCTATTGCCCTTTATTCTATTACTGATTTTAAAGTCAGTAACTGTTTTGACAACAAAATAAGAGACCATCAGTTCATTGGTTCATAGATTCATAGATGCTAGGGTTGGAAGGGACCTCAATAGATCATCGAGTCCGAGGAAAAGGATGGTAGAGCAAGCCCATAACATAGGATATGTGTGTTGCTTAATGTGTGACTGAAAGTGAACAGAACATGAACAGAGTGAAACAGAATGTCCATGTTGGATAGAAGATGGGAGAATGGGTGAAGAGAGAGAGTCATAGATTCATAGATTCATAGATGTTAGGGTCGGAAGGGACCTCAACAGATCATCAAGTCCGACCCCCTGCATAGGCAGCGAAGAGTGCTGGGTCTAGATGACCCCAGCTAGATGCCTATCTAACCTCTTCTTGAAGACCCCCAGGGTAGGGGAGAGCACCACCTCCCTTGGGAGCCCATTCCAGACCTTGGCCACTCGAACTGTGAAGAAGTTCTTCCTAATGTCCAATCTAAATCTGCTCTCTGCTAGCTTGTGGCCATTATTTCTTGTAACCCCCGGGGGCACCTTGGTGAATAAAACCTCACCAATTCCCTTCTGTGCCCCCATGATGAACTTATAGGCAGCCACAAGGTCGCCTCTCAACCTTCTCTTGCAGAGGCTGAA